TTACGGTTGCAAAGTACCCAAAAGTTTCGTTTATAGTCACATAAAAATTATATGTTTGTTGTTAAATACAAAACTACGCAATGGGCTGTCTGCTGTTCCAACTGTGTAGATCGAACCCCGAATTTTAGCGTTATAAGTCCTCAAGCTTTCCGCTGAGTCACCCGAAGATAAAAAAAAATTACAAAGAAGCCACCATCTTATTTTCAGCTGTAAATTATTAGTCAATAGCATTTCTCTTGCGTTAACTGCAGAGCAGCGGATCGGAAGAATCTAAAATCCATAAAAATACAATTTTCTTAACGAAAAGAATCTGCCCAACTCCTTTCATCTTTTATTTATTCTTTGTCTATCATGAAAACATGGAACTTCGCTATCCAACTAGTAGCTAGTAAAAAATAAATTACAAAAACATCCCGAATATTTGCTGATTTCTTTTAATAACGAACGTATTGTCATTAGGCATTTTTAGCATAGAGACTGTAAAAAAGAAAAAGAACCATGCCCTAAGCAGCAATATTTCAGCAGGAAGGTTTTCTTTTTTTTAATGTAATTCACATGTTTCAAGCTAATTCTTCTTTCTTGTAAAGAACACCAAGAATATGTTCACATCGACTGAGATTGTTTATTTACAAAAATTGACGAATTTGTTGCCAATACGCTACTTTCTCTTTCATGTGTTTTCAAATACCCATCAGTTGAAATCGGTCAAGTCATGGGTCAGTGAGGCCATTAAATATACAGAGAAAATAAGTATATTGTAAAACAACATATGTAATCAGTTGGTTCATTAAGATGACAATAAGTTAAACACAATGAAGTTTGGCCACAGAATGGATAGGGAAAGGTCAGGACTGATCAATACGCAGAAGTTACGGAATGAATATATGAGTAGACAACTGACATTAATCATAGCAACGGAAAGACGTGACTGCATTGGCAGGAGGCGTTTGGACAGCTGGACAGCTAATATGTGAATGGTCAGCAGCAAAAACAGTTTGACCCAATTCAGAGCATAATATGAGACATATGAGGACATCATGTTCCTGACAGAGTCTCTAAACCTCATTGAAAATAAGTTTTATGTACAAAGAACATAGGTAAAAGCTTTTTAGAGACTTGGGGGCTCATCTGAAAACAACCAATAATCTAGGACACAGTGACATATCATTCAACGAGACAGTGGACCACCTAGCTGGTAAGTCGTAGCCCTTGAGAAACCTGGTAACATATCAGAATAATGTGGGTAATGAAACAGCACGTAGACTAAGGGAAAAGATAGAACAGACATCATTTTATATTTATTTGTCTATTGTAGAGCAAAGCCACGTTGGGATATATGCTGTGTCCACCTCGGATTTTAGCATTGTAAGTCCGTAAACTTACCGCTGTCCCATCTGGAGACAACAGAAGTCATAGTAGTCAACTTGAGGACTGGAGAAAAGATGGTGGAAGTATGGAAGTGTAGTGTGAAAGTATTTTGAAAGGACACGTACTAGATAAATAAAATTCAACTGGGCATTATTACTAGAAGAACCTAGAGGAGATTATTGGAGGGCTCTAAGCCTGTGCTAAGTAATATTAAAATTGTCTTATTTATATTGAGAACCTGGTGTTAAAAATAAAAATAATTATATAAAAAATAAACAATACACATTCGTTAATTATAATAAAGTTTAAAGTAAAAATGGTTGCTTACGGCCGATTTCCTTCTTGTGGTTGATGATTCGGAATTAGGGACGGCGCAATTCTACCTGTACTTGGCACTGTCAGGGATACTGCAACGGAAACCCGTAATTAGAAGGAAGAGAACTTGCTTATGCTTTGGCTGGTGCTAAACTCCCCTGGCACATAAATAAGCTTTTAACTTCTATTCGTAACACGATTTTAGTAGATTTATATATTGGTTGATGGAACTTTGATGTGAATCCAAATTATAAGATGTAGATTATTTCGTTAAAAATCATCAACAGTTTAAAAGCGGTTTCATGTTTATCCTGTTCAAATAACAGTGTGATTATTATTTGGCTAAATAACACCTTTCAAAGAGGTATAATCCACCCATTACCACATACTGTTTAAGCTTTGTTCTTTTGGAATAAAAAAGTTTTTAACGATGAAACAACGTTTTATGGTAGCCACTACAACGGAACATCATGTAATGTTGACTGTTCCCGATTATATTAAAAAGGTCAGGTTCCTAATGGATTAAAAGATGAATACAATTTTATTGTGGAATATAGAAAGGCTTGCCATTTAGATAATGACAGTAACTTCTGAGTGAAAGTAAAGAATAGTGTATAATAATATATTAACCACATTATATCTGCTGTATTCAGTGTCAACTTTCGTCCAATACCACGGCTCTTCAGGTCGGCTAGAATACGATTGGCAGAGTGGTGGTTGATCTCCTATTTATAGGGCCCAGCATGGCCAAGTGGTTAGGGCACTCGACTCACAATCTGAGGGTCGCGGATTCGAATCCCCGTCACACCAAACATGCTCGCCCTTTCAGTCGTGGGGG